CGGGATCCATTTTTTTTTCAATATAAGAATTTGACATTAGAGGGATAGCCTAGTGATAAGGACCATCCTCCGCCTTATTAAATAAGAAAAAAGGACCACCTTCCACCTTGGTTCGAGTCACCAAGGGTCAAGGGAACAAATGTGGAAACGGTCACTGGCGGATCCTGGGAAGGAAGGTTTGAGTGTGGGGTTTTGTCATATATATATATAATAGCTTCTTGCGATATATACATTCTTTAGTGCTCTTTCTTTTGGATAAGGTATACTCCAGTTATGCTTTTCCTCAAGTTGGAGTGTAGATATTTTTTCCACCTAGCTTGTGTATGTATGATCAGCTAGGTCCTAGAAATGATTTTGTAAGTCTGCTAACTGATTGTTTGATTTGACAGAACAAGTAGTAATACATCTTTACTCGATGTCTAACATGAGCTGGCAGAGGGTTAGACATTAATGTCTAACTTGTTTATACCAAGAGTAAAATTCATAAAGGAGGGGGATATGCTACCTTTTCTCCTCGAATCCATGTTGGTTAAAGATAACATGCCTTGTATTTTTATGAGGTTCACTTTAGTTCTAATAGAGGCACTAATATGTGGCCTTATGGAGAACTAAAAAAAACAGTGTGAGTATTACCAGGGTTGGGAGTACTTTTTCCCCTTTACAAAAGATTGTGTACACTGTACAATTAAGAATTACATTTAATGACATTTTACGAGCCAAAAAAGTACTCCTTGGTTTCATTTTTTATATGGGGTGTTAACTAGGCACAGAGTCTAACAAAGAAAGACTTTTGACATATACCAAACTACCAAAGTACTTCTAGAACTTGTATTATAAGGCAAAAACTGCACTAAAGTACTTTTAAAACTTGTAATCTTAGACATAACATGACATTTGGCCCTAGGCCTTTGGGACCTTGGTCTAGTGATAAGAGTGCAACACATGATATGCGGGTTAGGCGCACCGCGCACGTCACAAGTTTGAACCATGTCACAGACAAAAGCCTAGTATTTAAATGGAGAAGCGTAGAGGGGCAGGCCCATGTTCGCCGAGTTTCGAACCATGCACCACTGACTCTTGGGGATTTCTCGGTTGTAAAAAAGATGTATATGCCGTGACGCTTCTATGGCTACAACAGTATGCCATTAAGGGCTTTCATATAAATTCAAGGTGTTATTCTTTTTGGAACAAACCACTTCACTTTCCTCACTAGTATTAAGGGGATGGTAGAGAGCGTAAACCACAGAATTTGCGGTGACAAGTCAAATCCCTTTTAAAAATGTGTTCTCACTTCTCATTGCTGTGGAGGGACAATTGCAAAACAATGAAAAGCCTGAAGTCAAAAACGTCAAGACATCTCATGGCCGTGCACACGAACAAAAAGAAATTCAAGGTTGTCAGACTAAATAAAATGATTTAAAGCACATCCTCGCTGCATGAAATTTCTCTGTATGATGAAAACACATCCCCAGTAGTCACGATCACGGTCTTTAAGCTGCTTCCATATCTGCAAGGAAACAAAAAGGAATATTTGAAACCATCAACAGAATAGTGGCATCTTTAGGCAATATATTTTGTCAGAGACACACTTATGCAAAGTAGGTAAAAAGACATGGAGATGATTGGCCAGCTTTCTGCTTGATTCTATCAGGTCAAGAAACGGAGATTTGATTACTCTGACAGGCGTGGTTCCCTCATTCTTTCTACTGTATTTCTTATGAATAAACATGCTTTGGCTCATAATTATCGAATTTTCAAACTTTGTTCATTATTGGGAAGAACTTATTGTTGCCATTATCCTAATGGGTAAAGTTCTAATCCTGGGTATGCTATAGCATATTTCTTTGTGGCACTCCAACTTACAAGTTTAGTTGCAGGTCCTGAAGAAGGCAGATATGATACGCAAGAATGCCGTTGAGAGTATTTTGGCAGAACGTGATATCTTAATATCAGTTCGAAATCCCTTTGTGGTGAGCATGCTGTAGTGGCAAAGCATTTTACTAAAGAAATGATTAATACCTTTTTTACTGATTGTATTACGCATTAGGTTCGCTTCTTCTATTCATTTACTTGCCGTGAAAACTTGTACCTTGTGATGGAGTACTTGAATGGTGGGGACCTATATTCATTGCTGAGAAATCTAGGCTGCTTAGATGAAGATGTCGCTCGTGTTTATATAGCTGAAGTTGTGAGTATCTAGGTCTCTGTCTTGCTCTCAAAAGTTTTGCACA